TATATTGTTCATATATATATAATTTATATTTGTTTATATATATAATTTTATATTAATTTTTTTCCTAAAAATTAACTGTCCACATTCTAACAAGCTGCATTAAATAATAATTGTATATTCAATTTAATTTATATTTGTCGATGTATATAAGCTTATTTTGCGAAAATCTCATGAAATTTTAATGGTGATATACGTTTTAAAAACTGTTGTTAGCTGTTTGTATATCATGATTAGAAACAAAACATAATAATTATATGTATAACCACTCGATTGTTTGATATAGCAAAAAGAATCAAAGTAACGACTAATAAATGAGCAAAATAAGATAATAGATAACAATAAATTAATATATATTTGAGATTCAGCCTCAGTAAAATTGCATATACAAAATATAAATATTAAAACATTTTGACTTACAGTCTTCTTCAGTTACAATAAGAAATTATCCTAGCATTCTAATAACAAACAATAAAAGTCGATTGAAATTTATGTCGTAATTGTACCGCAACACACCCAAGTATTGGCACACCATGTCCGTAAAAAGTACCGTCTAAATATTAAAAATTATAATTAAATCCTCGTTAACGACGAGAATCATGTTAAGTCCATCAGTGTGAAGTCAATGATATAAAATAATCTAGATCGAGATAATTATATTAAAAATTGTGTAAAAAAGAAAAAGAATGTATGTATACATCAAAGTAGTCATGTAACTTACAGTCATGGTGTGAAACATTTAATATAACTATCTGGCAATGATATTGAAGCTATTATCGAAAACTGAGAACTGAGGCCGACGAGTCAGAATAACACATATTATGACGTGTGAGTAAAAACTACTCTGATATACAGGGTATCCCATTTTTAATGTCCCATCCCAAATAACTTTTTATTTTTGATCTTAGAAAAAAATATTTTAGACAAAAGTTGTATAGCTTTGAGGGGGACATAAGATGATGTCATTAGTTTGAACTTGAAGCTCACGTGGTTACCTTTAATTTCTTAAATGGAACCCCCTACTTTTTATTGCATATTCTTGTAGATCATCTCGAGTTTTCCAAAACACTATAATTAAGTTCCATTAAATACTTTTCAAATTATAAGGCTTGCAAGTTACAAGCACCACCGGCGTTAGCATTACCCAAGATGTAATGATTTTTATTTTTACATGTAAATTTTAGTGCAAAAATGAAAATAAGAGGAACAACCTCCAATGACCTTAATCTTGACAAATGTTATTCAGGTCATGATTCTGAATAACATTCAAGAGGTTTTAGCCGTCGGTCGAACACCTTAGATAATTCTAATACCGGCAGAGCTGTAACTTACAAGCCTTATAACTCGAAAAATACTTAATGGAAATAAACTTAATTACAGTGTTGTGGAAAGCTCTTTAAATGATCTGCAAGAATGTGCAATAAAAAGTAGATTCCATTTAAGAAATTAAAGATAACTAAGTGACCTTCAAAGTCAAACTAATGACACCATCTTATGTCCCCCTCAAAGCTATATAACTTTTGTTTGAAACATTTTTTTCTAAGATCAAAAATAAAGTTATTTGGGGTGGGACATTAAAATGGGACACCTTGTAAAAATTCATTTTTTTAAACACAATTTTTAATATATCTCGATCTAAATTATTTTATATCATTGATTTCACTCTGATGGACTTAACGTAATTTTCGCTGTTAAACGAGGGTTTAGTTATAACTTTTGACGATACTTTTTATGAACATGGTGTGTCAATACTTCGGTGTTGCGGTACAATTGACATTAAGTTTCCATCGACTTTTGTTTGCGATTAGAATGCTAGGATAATTTCTTATTGTAACTAAAGAAGACTGTGAGTCGAAATATTTTAATATATTTTGTGTATGCAATTTTATTGAGGCTAAATCTTAAACATATATTAATTTACTGTTAATCTAACATCTTATTTTGCTTATTTATTGGTCATTACTTTTGAAGAAAATTATAATTTTCTACAATAATTTATATTGAACACAAAATGGTATGTATAGTTTGATGATACTCATCCCCCATGAACCTATTCGTTCGTATACATGTGTACCAAACTTATGCAAGAGGCAAAAAATGCCACGAGTTTTTCAGGAACATGCATCGTTTTTTTAAATAAATCACCATAAATGAGTCATGAGATTTGAATAAACGCATCAACTGTCAAAATCCAACAGTTTACTTCCAAGTTCACTTGCATTGAAAAATGATAACTATTTTACAAATGAAAATCAATCAGTATATAACCACATAGTCTGTTAAAACAGATTTCTGAATTGTCGATATAGCTCCTAAAAATCGTTTACACATTCTCG